TGATCAAAATTATGGTTATTTGTAGCATATAATTCTTTCAAAACTGTATTAACTATTTTACTTGCTGCCATGATTTGATCAGATGGTAAAGCTTTTATATTCAGCATTGTTCTGGTTTGTTTTGCCTTTTCAAATTCTTTTACAATTGTTTCCAGGATATTACTTATTATGTCCTTTGCAAAAATTTTTAGTTCGGAAGTGGGTAATTTTGTTTTCAGTAAATTTTTGGCATCGCCTATTGATAGGATGTGTGACAGCCCAGTGGCAGTCTTGGACTGGCCATCTCTTGAAATCTTTTCTCCAGGACCTAACTTGATCTTGCTTTTGGCCTTAGCACCACTTGGGCCGAGGTGTGGTTTTGTTGTAAATTTAGGCAAACAGGTACCTCTTGATCTTGCTTTCAAACTTGTTTTAAAACTTGGCTTAGGGGTGTCCTTAAAGCTAACTTTAGAACCGCATAGCCTTAGAAGCTGCAACTCATCAGAACAACCTTCAGAGGCCAAACTCTCAACTAGATGAAGTGAGATTAAATTTGTGATCTTATCGAGAACCATTTGAACTAAATCTTTTTCCACTTGCAATGGTGAATATTGCAAAAAAGTGTTTTCCAACACAGAGACATTTTGACTATCTGCACAGGAATAAACCTGTGGTGTCACATACCTAGAGGAATTACTTCCTTCTCCTGCTTGTTTAGTTTCTCTAAACCATGACGGTTTCAATGGTAAGGAATCATTGTTGTCAGATGTTTCTACTTCTCTACTTTTATTATTTTCATATAATGATGTCACAACTACAGAGTACATTTTTCCCAAAATACTTTCAACTATGTCATTTGCTACACTGTTAATATGTGATTGAAAAAAGTTTTTTTGTGTTATGTCTGATGTTTTAATTTTAGAATTAGATATAAAATGAGAGATTTTATTAAATGGAGGCAAATGGCCTATAACTTCCATTACTCTTTGATACAACTTATTCAAATGTTCTTCCACTGCACTGAGCAATTTGGTTTTTCCTTTTTGTTTTGAGTTTTCATTTCTCATAAATATTTCTTCCAAAACAATTCTCTGGTTTTTCTTTTCCAATATCATTTGGTTTTGTTCTAATGGATACTTTGTAAACAGAGATAGTTTGGTGTTTCCTTCCTTCTGTTTAGGTCCCGGCAATATTTCATTTGATTTAGTTAATTGTGAAAAGTTGGGATTCTCTTTTGAGTAAAAACCAATTTCCTTTACAGATCTTTTATCATCTAAAATCTGTAAGATACTCTCAACAATTTCACTCACAATAATGTTTTCTTGGAACAAAATATTGTCTGGATATGGATATACATTTTTTATTTCTAGGTTTAAATCATTTTTAATAAGCTTCAAAATGGTACTGGCAATGCTATCAGCCTGTTTCTTAAGGCTAGCTTGTGATAGATGAATTGTGGATCCAAGTTTTTCTCTGTAGCTGGCAAAAGTGGAATCTGTGAGCTCTTGGCTGGTTTCAGTTTCAGTTGTTGATATTCTCAGGACGTTCACATTTGATTCCACTTGGCTTGAATCATGAAAAACGCTGTCATCTTGTTTACAATTTTGAAATTCTGGGCTAACAAATGACTTTTCTTTAGGCTGGAAAGCAAGAGTAATTAATGAATCTACTCTTTCTGTCGCAAAAGATTCTAAACAATTGAAAATAGATTTAGTAATGAAGTCAGCATTTTCCTCACATGGGTCAGGGGCAGATTTCTTGATGTCTTCTTTCTTTACTATTGTTACCTGATTATCATCAGCATAAGCCGATTTCTGATTTCTTGAATATGGAAAACATTCTGTTTTTCTTTCACTTTTTGAAGCCATAAGATGAGGCTGTTGACACTCTGTTTTGGGAAACATATCATAAAAGGTCAGAGGCAATCTTGCTGAAGTAGGATTCTTTGCTTTTATGACAAGCATGACAGCAGAACTGAGATTATGGAGAACAATATTCACTATATCATTGGATATCAAGATGACATCTGATTTAGGAACTGAAAGTTTTGGAATAATCTTATTTGCACCCTCAATGGACGTTTCAGAATTTGCTTCTGAATGTTTACCAGCTATGCTGCATGTCAGGGTGGGTGTGGCAAATGAGAGATTATTCTGATATAGTGTTTTTTCATAAATATCACACAAGATACCTTCAATGGTATCTTGTATTTGAAATTGAAGTACTTTTCTATATTCAGTCTTATTGAACAGCTTTTCAATAATACCTTCTTGCTGATCTGAGTCAATCTTTTTGTCAGAACTGGTTTTGTCACATTTGCCTTTACATGAGACAATATCTAACATTGTGTTAACAATTTGACTTGTAATACTCTCAGAAACCACAATGTTATGATTTAAGAAAGGAATTTCTCTTTCTTTATCTAACTCATGTTTGATGCCTTGTAAAATTTTTCTAGCCACTTCTGTTGCATAACTATTTAATTTAGACAAAGACACTTGGCACAAGTTGGTCTTTCCTGACTTAATATAATCCACTGAGCAACAGGAAGATTGCTCATTCAAATATGAATCTTTGGCTGATAATGCGTTGCTCAATGTAGTCTTATCTTGCTGAATAGGTAAAGGCACTGGAACTGTGAAGCTGACTTGGGGACAAAAGAGAGATTTTAATTTGGAAGTAGCAAAAGTTTCTAAATTTATTAATATTGCCTGTACAATATCTTCAACTATATTTTCCTTGACCTGTTTGTCAACACTGAATCTGGACTGAAGAGTACATGGATTTCTGTCCAACACAGTGACAGAAGACTTTCCTCTATAGGTGTGTTCATGAAAAGAAACATTTGTTGAAAAGGTAATTGTTTTATACTTATTTTTACTTACATTTCTTTCTGTCATAGCAGCTGAATAAAGTTTATGAAATACAGTTCTAACAATATTATCTGTTACTATGGTTACATCTTCTTCAGAAACTAAAGGACCCATCATTTTGTCCATAAATTGAACAGACGGTTGAGCAACTGGCTCATCAACATTGTGAGGCATGCCACTAAAATGAGAGTGGGAGAGAGAAAGCACATTTAATTGATTGATTAAAGCACTTTGAAAAATTTCATTCAAAATATTTCTTATAATGGGAGTGATTGGAGATTTATGTGGTTCTTTGAGTTTTACTTCAATTTTGTTTAAGGTTCTTTCTAGGACCCATTGTTCAAGAGAATGTGTTTTAGTTTCTTCTCTTAGTTGTGATGTCTCTCCAATAAGTATTTTCTCTGTATTTGCATCATCTTCTAGAAATGAATCTGATTCAGCTCCTCCAGGAAGAAAATTTCCATAAGTTGGCCTGTATCGATAATTTTCAATGTCTCTCTCTTCAGATTGAGTTTCGTTAAAGATATTTGAAGATATTGCATCTAAAATTAAATTGACTATATTCTTAAACATTTGTGCCTGAGGTGGTGGATTTTTTACACTTGTGCTCAAATCTGATGGGTTCAAATTTAATTCTGTTTGAATAGCCTTCAAAATAGCACTTGATACCTTCTTTGCATGCATGTATAAAGCAGATTGCAAAGATTCTATATACGTGTCTGTGAAAATACTGGTACTTTCACATTCCCAATCCATTTTACTGCTCTTCTTATTTCCGTTATTATTAGCACCTATAGTTTCTAAATTTCCATTGGCAAACCATTCCAGTTTAGCAAAGACCATATTAAGAATATCTGAAGCTACAGCTTTCATTTTATTTGGATGCATTTCTTTTGTACTCCCTTCTTTGGAGGGCACAGGAGAAATAGTTTTTGCATTGCATTTGGTCACCTCTTTATTGCCTTCCTGAATTATTTGTGAAACTATGCTGGAGATTACGTTGGTGCATTTGGCCATTTCCTCAATAATTGAAGTAAATGATAGGCTGTCAATGTCAAGAGACTCAGGGAGAGCTTTAAATCCAGAACTTGCAAAACTGATATCCATGCCAATACTACATAATTTTGCAAGGATGTATTCCAAAATTGCTTTGGAAATGAGCTGAATATTAGACTGCAATGCAGCAGCCCTTTGCTGATTTTCATTCATCTTCTCTTTGTTTTGCTGACTACAAGACGGCTGAGAGTGAGGAGGGGCTCCTATAAGCTTGCTTAACATTTCATGTAGTGTTTCCCCAATTCTATCTAACACTTGCAATTTGGCATTCTCTTTAAGATCTTTTCCATCAATGAAACTGTGGAGAGTACATGGAGTAGCCAAATATTTGTAAAAAGATTTTTTATCCTGCCTACTTGGCAAAGTATTTTGTTTATCAATGTTGTCAGATCCATATGAAGTTGCAGATTCTGGCTTATCTGAAGGAAGTGAAATATTTCTTTGATCTGCATTTTTACTTGATAACATTTCATAAATACAAGTTAATAATGGACTTGCCGTAATGTCATCATTGCTATTTGTGACAACAGATTTTAATTTTCTATCAGTGTCAGCAAAAAATCCTTTCCCTGTAAGGGATTTAGTATGGTCAATTTCCCTAATATTTAGGTTTTCCTCATCGAGTTCCAGTTCATTCAGGATAGCACTCAAAACAATGTTTACTACTTTAGCTGTGTAAGAACTAAGTTGAGATTGTAATGAAGATTTCTTGGCAAGTGAAGGTTTGAAGTCCATTTGCAATTTTGGACAAACAAATAACTTTAGCCTTTTAAAAATTGTATTAATGATCTTGTCAGTAATGTCTTCTACATGTTTAGATTCACTTTCTCCAAATTTTAAACAGGAAGAAGCTGCAGGATCTATATCAAGTGAAGATAAGTATTTCATTTTCTTTTCACTGTCAAACCATATTTTCAATGGTTTTTTATTTGGTGTTTCTTTGACTGTGTGGCAAGTATCAGAATTATCTAGTGAAGTTTGCTGAACTGATGATGAAATGAAACTTGATGCTTTATGAAGTATATTTAACACAGCATCTGTTATTTCTTGGGCCACTGAACTAATTTCTGACACAGAGAACATCTGGTCCATCCATTCTTGATGTGATGGTCCTTGAGGTTTTTCTGAAGTAAGAACTGAAGCTTTTTTCCTGGCATGGCTGTCTAAGTGAACAGGAGGAACAGAAGATATGTTCTTGAGCATTTCTGTTAAAATACTTCTAACTGTGTTTTCTGAAGCCTTTTGTATTTGATGCTTTTGATCTTGGCTAAAAAAGGAAATGTCTTTATTCAAGCAGGGCTTTTTCTTTAAAATGTCGTGATTATTAATAGATGGTATCTCAGACTTTAATTCCCAATCATGAATTACACCTTTGCTTCTAGAAGCAGGCTTTGTAGGTGGTTCGCTATTTCTTTTGTATTCAAAACAAGTGTTTCCCTTTGTAGACCAATGATTAGGAATCTGTTTTTGTGATTTTGTTTTTTCCTCTTTGAAAGATGAATCAAGCACATTTTTTACAATTTTGTCTATCTCTTCATTATCATCTTCAGAATAAAGGGCCATGCCTGGAACATTAATAGGTGAAAATGATCTTCCAGATTTAGGATGATTAGATAATCTGGTGCCAGTGAGTCTGTACTTTTCTTCAGTGTCAGAAGATTTTCTTATTCTAGGTTGTCTACATTTTTGAACACGTGCATTTACTGGTTCCCGATGGAGCTGAGTGAGGATATCATCAAATAGCTGAAGGAGTTCTACTGTTTCTTCCGATGCAATAAGTCTCTCATTATTAAGTTCAGTTTGTACATAACCTAGTATGGTGCTGATTGCTTCTTCTATATAACCAACCAAAGAGGACTGGGAAAAAATACTTGATATTAAATTGTGTATTTCTTCTTTGACAATTAAATTAGCTGCATCAGGTTCAGGATTAGATTTATTATTGCCAGCTCTTTGAAGGAACATACATGTTGGGTCTGTCTTATGTTGCTGATTGGAAAGTTTAGTTGTATCTTCAAGATGAGGAAGTTCATTTCGTTTATAAGATGTAAGAGTCTTTAGCTTTTCTAAAATATCATGTACCATGTCCTCTGCAATATCACACATGGGGTCCAAAGTATGAGGCAGTGAATCTTTTAAAGGTTTTTCATTTGATGATATGAGGTGTTCTTCACTGGCTGTTAAGCTTGATTTAATATCAACTGACAAATCTTCCTGTGAAAACATCTCAACACATCTTTTCTCAACTGCCAGTTCTAACTTCTCAAGCATACTTTCCACAATCTCAGAAGCTACTGAGCAGATATCAACATCGGAGAGCAAGTCTTCTTTTTCAGGCTCATGTTGGTCAACAAAAACTTCAGCAGTAACAGAAGAAAGAGAGGGGATGGCCTGGGTTAAATCGGACATTATTTCTTGAAAAATGCTTTCTAAAATCAATTGAGTTTCTTCTTTCAAGTAACATTTAAAGTTAACAAAAACATTTTTTAAATTCTTAATTTCATCCATGGCTTTCACTTTTTGATCACAAAAAAATGAACTTCCTAAGCTATCTGTTTCAGTGGTAGCATTCTTAGATTTTGTTGTGCCTGTTTCAAATGATGCTAAAAGGTGACTATCAGACTTACAATGTCTGAGCTTAGGGCATGAACATATCAAACTGCTTTTATCATATCTGCATTTAGAGGTTATAGATTGTTCTTTCATGTGATGTGCTTTCCCCACAACTGTTCTTTCCATATGTGCAGAAGGAGGTTTTAAAGGTGTGGTTTGGCTCCTTGCTGAAGTGTCAACTGCAAATGCACAGGGCTCCTCCTGAAACATTTTAGTTGTTGCAGATGTGTAGTTTCCATATGTAAAGTCTTCGCTGCATGTGCTACAGAAACTTGAACTATCTGAAGAAAGGGTGGACTCCTCAGACACTGGATATGTATTATTTCTCAACCTTTCTTCATATTTTGTGATGGCTGGGTATAATATACTGGTCACTGTAGCCACAACCCAGGTCATTATATTCTGGATTATACTATTCAGTTCTTCAGAAGTTACCTGGAAAGGGGACAATAAGGGATGAAAAAAAAAAAATCACCTAACAATTTATTTTGGGGGGGCAGAGGGTAAAATATAATTTTTCGTATGAAACAATGCATAGGTGGATTGCCACTGTGGTTTATAAAAATATAAAGAAAAAACAGTAAAGGAATTTAGAAATGCCAATTAATGTTAAGTTGATTTATTTTATATTACAGTGAAATACTTTTTGCCTAAGATTTTATTCACATTCCCTCAGAAGTATACCCCCTCACCTCTAGCATTTATTACTGAGATAAATGACTTTTTAGTAAAAAACTAAATGAACAACAAAAAAAAAAAAACAGAAAAAGAAAAAAAATTACCAAATTGCTGTCTAGGCACATGGGATGAAAATATTTTGGCAAGAATATGTTTATGATGCAGCTAAAATTTTAAAGATACATCAAATTACTTTTAACAAAGTGTTTCTCAAAACAGATGTAGTCAAAATATTTGGGTGCTTTCAGAAGAATCTGTCTAGCTGGGATATGAGGATATCTCTCCATTCCCTGCTATGAGGGTGAGTCAATGGTCTGCATATATGGAAATGACTACTGTTAATTGTTAAGAATTATTTGATTGGGCAACAATAAAAGCTAATGCTTTATAGAGATGGAAGGCATTTGTACCCAACAAAAAAAAGATCAGTACAAACTACCTTAAGAAAGCTGAGAACAGATGACAAAGTGTAGGAAAAAATTAATTTAGATAAAAAGTAAGGGCTAAGCTAGAACTGGGAATCAAAGGCCAAGGAGGGCTGAATAAAGGTAGGAAAACTGGAGTATTTCTCAGTTTGAGCTGGTACAAGGAATCAGTTTTGAGTGACCATTTCTATACTGGGCAATGGTGCCATCATAGGTTTGAAGTGGACAAAAACAGAATGCATCTGTAGAATTCTAAAAGCCTGTACTTACTTATTGCAAATATATTTTGGGCTTGCAAAAGTCATCTTGCTTTTATTAAAGTAGTAGTTTGTTTTTAAATTGTTATAGCTCCTAAAACATACAAGCTGTACACAAGTAATTGGTAGCAAAGCTTGGAAGGCTGATGCCTGGGCATCACATTAAATAATATGATTCTTATAATGCGGTAGTTCACATCCAAAATGTTGCCTATATCAGTCTAAAATTACTCATATTTTAAGGCACCATTCAAAAGAAGTTAACACTTCTGTAGCATACTCTCTCTTGATTCATTTGAGAGCATTCAGGGAGCACCCCAGGAAAGGCCATTTTTCAGCTCTAATCCTCAAATATTTTAATATACTTTTTAACTTATTGTATAACCAATGGCTAGTGGTTTTAAAAATGTATTTGGGGAGGACAGCCTATGTTGTAAAATACTTCTCTCATGTAAATGAACCCTAAATCAAAGAATAAATGCTAAATTTTAAGAGAGAAGATAATTATTTTAAATTAGCTATAGCACATATAAAATATAAGATGTGAATATACCCATCCACTCCTCCCCTCCACCTGCCCAACACCTGATGAATGTTACTACTATATGTGTACATTAATGTTGATCAGTTAATACCAATTTGATGGTGAGTACATGTGGTGCTTATTTTTCCATTTGGGGATAGACATACTTGAAGCTCTGACTCGGGTGGAGCAAAGGCAATATATGTAACCTAAACATTTGTACCCCCATAATATGCTGGAATAAAAAATAAAAAATATATATATAAACTAAGATATTTTATGTATATTGTTTTTCTTATTACCAGAGATAATAAACAACAGACCTACATTACAACTCTTAGACTAGATATGGGAGTTTCCAACCTCAATATATAAAAGATGGACATTCCTAAAGTTTTCTATATAGTGAAATATGATAGAAAGAACCCTATTTTCTAATTTTTCTGCATTATAATATTAAACTGAAAAATATTCCCTTAGGTCAAAGCTTTTATATCTACTGCATACTCTATGAATTGAGCAGATGTCCATGTATATCAGAATATAGTACATCAGAGTAGTATCAGAAATAGTATATCAGAAATAGTATCAGAAATAGTATATCGGAGTATGTGTTGTTCCCCAAACCCTTTTTCTTTCCTGACTGGTCTGTCTAGTTTCCGAAGTTGAGCCTTATAAAAACATACCATCTTATCTTTGCCTGTTTCAAGTCCCAGCTCATAGGTGACAAGGTAGCTTTTCATGTGACCTTCTTAGGTAACCAGGTTTCTTCCCATAAAAACTGTTAAAGACTGATCCAGGCATCTCAACTTACTTCCTACTGAATTCACCAGCAAGGTCTACAAAGCCATGTTTATTAATAGCTTCCCATTGTAGAATGGATTTGTGGAATTTGATGCTGTTCCTATGATGGCTAGATCTGTTAATGCTCTACCATTCTATATCCATGAGACCCCTCTTTGAAGTGCCAACTTGATAATAATTTGGAACCACAATAAAATCTAAGAATTAACTGAAAGTGAACTTCCTAGAAAAGAAAGGGGCAAAGAAGGGGGCTGACAAGTATCAATAGATGATTCCTAGTTATATAATTCACAATTTTTTTTCTATTATGACACGAGAAAGTATTACTAATATGCTGCTTTAGCAGTGAATTTTATGATACATACTTTTTCTTGCAAGCAATTTTGTAGGAGACTCTGTTGTCTGTAAAGAAAGGTTGATCACTGAGGTATTACTTATGGTCAAAAATTTATTATTCTGCTTTTAATTATTATGGATACATAATAGTTGTACATATTATATATGCTATTTTGGCCATAACACCCCCCCTCCAAACCATCAGACTGTCACCCAATAAAGAAACTACAAGTTTCTAAACACAGTCTTCAAGGTGGTAGATTTATTGCCTTCTTTACTCTACCACTCCTTATACCTTCCCCCCAAATAACAAATCTAACTCATTATCTAAACACTGTGCTTAATTATTGCAACTCCCTTTACTCCCACTGCTATCATATTTGCTTTCTTTATTCCCTTGGTCCTGAATTTTCATCTTTATTTTAGAAATCATTCTGTGTATGTCCTTTGTATTAACATTTAAAAAAAGAAAAAAACCCAGAGAACTAACAATAGAGATAAGGGAGGAGAAAGGAGGTTAACAATGGAATAGATGTGATGCTTCCACAGTGTTACGGAACTTGGAGTTAAATCAGAACAAGAGGAATGTCATATGTGTCTCAGGGGCAGAGCCAGGCCAGATAGTCCATTAGCTGTGTTTTGTTTCTAGTTTGATCTGATGTTAGGCTGGGTGAATGTGCAGGTAAAAGTATCTTATCCCTTTGAATTTAGGAGGAGTGGTGAAGAAGCTCCAGGTCGTGTATAGAGTTCTTCATTTTAGCTGACTAAGATTTTTAATGAAAGAATATCTAAAGTGTGTGCTTTGAAAAATTCAAGTAATTCTGTAGTTCTGTATTCTTGGGTAGGGAAAGTTATTATAAAAATACAGGAATTAAGACTTTATTAAGCCTCTACCCTGTTTTTAAAGAGGCAGGTATATATATTTCCAATAAATAAAAAATGTATTTATACAACAAATAAAAATGGTCATTGTCTGCATGTGGTCACCATTCTTCCACCTTGTTTTATTGCTTTGAACTAGACTAATCGACTTCCTTTCTTCTGCATCTATTACACTGCTATGCATCCTATGAACACTCAGTAAGTCACACAAACTGACATCCATCAGTCCTAAAGTCAAGATCCTTCCTCCAGGGAGCTTTGTCTGAAAACGTCAGCACCATTTGCCACCACACACCACTTAAATTTACCCAGCCCTTTTCATAGCAATTTGAGGTTTGTAAAGTCTATCCTGGACCTCATTTAGTTTGTTGATTTTTTCAAAAAAGATGATGGTATTGAGTCGAAATTATAGTCTTTCTCCCTCTCCTCAAGTTGAGAAAAACATATAAACTTCAATAGACTGGTGGTTACCAAGGTTTGAGGAATGAAAATTCTCTGGGTGTAAAAAACTGTCTCTTGCAAGGGGCTGCAATTTTCATCATTCAAGAACATTATTTTAGACTAAACTTCAAATACATTTTAGGAGGGGAATAACTGATTATGTCATTAATACTGTATAGTAAACTATTTTACCATCTGTGGGAAGTGAATAGCCTCAAAAGACATAAGAAATGGTTAATGATTCAAAGGGGAGAAAAGCAAAAGGATAAATCCAGATCATGGGAAGCTATGAGGAGAGGGCATAGTGGCACGAAGACTCTGAATATAGAGCGAGTATAGAATCATAGTGGGGATAAGGAAGTAGAGAAAGAGGAGGACAAAGATTTACTTTATACAATTAAAACTTAATGCTGAAAGTTTCCAAAAGACTAAGTTTCACTAAAGTACAACTACAAGACTGGGGGGTTTCATGTAATCATCTGCTTGTGAACAGCACTCTATGGATTAATTTTCTTAGATACTTACCTATTTGAGTAAACAGGAGATGAAAAAATCCCCGGGGCCACAGCATGAGCCTGAGATCCTATTTATCAAAAAAGGAAAATTATAGTTTGTATCCATCCTCAGCAATTTGTCAAATGCTAATAAAACCTTCCAATACGTCTTTATTCTTTGTGGTCACTGCCTTTTTTGCAAGCTTTCAGAGACTCTCCACAGTGAAGTCCAAAGTCCTTAGCAAGGCAAAACTATACTGTAGCATCTGAAATCCTTGCCTATC